CTCAGAAGGTCTCAAGTTAACAAGAGAAAATAACAAAAATTGCCCCATACATAAAGGAGAGTCTTTTACAGCTAGTTGGGAAAGCCATTGTAGGAGACATTTTTGTATAATCTAAAAAATTAAACTCCACATTCTCTTTGTCCTGCCAATTTCACTTCTAGGTATAGATGCCCCAAATTTGCATAAATATTTACTGAACACATGCACAAAAGTGTCTGGAGAGCATCATTTCTATCATCCCAAAAATGAAAACTAGTCTAACATCTACTAACATTGGAACAGAATGAACAGGTAATTTTGCACCAAATCTAACATTTAGGTACCTATTATTATATGGATGAATTTCAGAGATACAATTCTGGAGAAAATAAAAGTAAGACAAATGTAGCACATGCTGTCGGATCCCATTGACATGTACTTCACCTTATTAGGGACACTAAAGGAAAAGTTACTGCTTGCATATTCACAGGAGAGGCAGAGCTCTCAGAGGTGAACTCATTACCCTCCCTGCAGCAACCACCAAGGACATGGCAGGGATTGACCTCTATGGCCTGGTTCACCTTGGGCAAACTTTTCTTGGCCTTGTAAACTAACATGCTCACAGATTCGTGAGATTGCTACATGGAAGTCTTTATGAAGCCATTTTCTGCCTACCATGTTGGCATTAAGTTAACTTTGCAATTTAAATAAATTCAAGGCCAGTTTTTAGCAAGGCCAAAGCTCAATTGCTAATCCCCCCTCAGCTCTGGATGCCTCAGGCTGTGTTCTCTAGCCAGGAGTACTCCATTTCTCACCTTGACAATCTGTACAGCAATTGGTAGGTGAGTTTACTTTGGCATATGCAGTTCACTATAGCAGTATGATTCTTTCATTTCATTCATTTATCTATTCAATGAAATTAAAATTGAAACTACTTCAATAGCTATTTAAATCACATTATAAATATTTCAGCAGAAATAAGAAGATTTGACTTTAAAAGTAGACTGTACCCATGTGTTCTATCAATCACATTCTGCATCTGATTGGGATTGGACACTTTGCTAAAAGTCAACATCTACAGATAGGAAATGTGAGAGCTCTCCCCAGCACTGTTGCTGTTATAGTGGATGTTGTTACCTAGACACAAAAATGCAAACATACAAATAAAATAAAACTCTCTTTCATAAATGCAAATTGGCACCTGTACTTTAGCATTGATTCTCTTAAATTTAGTTAAAAAGGGGCAAAAAAATTAGCTGAATTCTACCCTTTGCTTCATTTCATTCCAGTTATAGTTTTTGACAGTGGTTGGTGTCAGTGGTTTAGTTTTTAATCTTCTCTTCTATTGGAATTCAGAAAAGAAATACCAGGATCCTATAACTTCACCCATAGATGTGTTTTAAAATCATGACCTTTTCCCAGGACACTTATTTACATTTTCTTTTTACTCCAGAATGAGCCTCTATTATTTTGTGACTCATAGCTTTCTGAAGCATACAAAGTAGGTCAGAATGCTGGGAATCTTTAAAACACCCCTGAAATCTAAACCCCTTGACCCTGAAGTGTCTCATCACGTGGCTCTGGCTAATGAGAGTGCTTCCAGCCCCCGTGGGTACAGGTCACACACCCTGTAACTGTGCATGGGCACTGATATACTCCAGCTGGACAAAGCAGCAGCAAGTCACTCCTGCAGCACGAGGGGACTGCAACCATGCTTCTCACAGAGGACGCAGATGCTACCTGCTGCAGTGAGTGTCCCCTTACGTGGGTAGGGGATGCCAATCCTAGCACTTCATGCTCAACAAGTTTGAGAAAATCCTCTGTTCCTTGCTGTGCTTGTTATCCCCGGAGAGCTGCAGTGTGTGCTAGCTGGTACTCACCGGCTGGATTCTTTAACAGCCCATTGATTCCCTCAAATAAAAGGTCTGTATGATATTATTTGTTACAGAAGATCATCTCAGTACACTGGGTAAGAAACTTAACATTTTAATATCAAATTTTGGCAATGAATCTGAAAAAAGTATAGAGCTTTGTAATGTTTGGAACAACTAATAATAAAAAAAAGTGAAAAAAATGTATTCTGCTCTCATATATACCTAATTAGAATAAGTAAATTTTAAAAAAATGAAAAAAGTATAGAAAAGAAAATTACAGGCACTGCTTTAAATTTCCCATGATTACCCAAAAGCTTTTTAAAAAGGAAGAAGGGCAGGGGAATGCTGTGCTCCTCACAGCATTGCAAAGACATGGAAAAAGCGACCGTTTTCACATCACTCTAAGAAAAAGCTGTGGAAGCAGATGGAAATGTGGGTAAGAAATCTCCAAACCCATGAAGTCAGAGGGAAGAAAGAAAAAGGAAATCTTTGTTTTTCAGGATAATACATTTTCCCAACCCTGGGATTTGAGCTTCCTTTCCTCCTTTTAATGGCATGTTGTATTTTATTTGCCAGCAGAGTTAATGCTTTATTACTCTTTTAGCAACACTTTGTATCCAAGATCATCGTTCTAGAAATAAATTCCAAATAATTCTATTTGCATAGCTTTGCAAGTATTTTTGACTAGTGTCAGTTTACTTCATTTGTGTAATATAAATATATAAATAGTTAATTTTAGTAAAGTCACACATTATCATTTCTTACAGAAATAACTAATTGGGATTCATTTTATTATTTGGAGAATTCATTTGCTCTTTCTTTGAATTTAAATGCTATGTAATGCTGACTGGAAAATTATATTTGTAATGGCAAGTCACATTTATATACCCATTCTACCTTCAAAAAGTATATAATAAATCCCTAACTCCTTTGAAAAGTTAAGTGTTAGTGATTTTTAATTTAAAATGATTTAAACAGAAGTAGAAACTTTGTAATGAACTGAAAAGTCATGAGAGTTGCTGAATTTATTCTCTAAAACCTCATAAACCTCTCTTGCATGACTTAAGCAAAAGGATCACTGAAGTTGTCCTATTTCATGTGACATCTTATCACTTTATGAAAGAAAAAGCTGTAATATCTGCTGTCAAATGTCCATTAAAATCACATAAATGCTCAGGAAAGTGCGTGGAAGTGCAAGGCGGCCACTGAAGTGTACAGGAATAAGCAAAGTGTGCTGCCCACAGCCAGTGGGGCTCTAGTGACCCTCAAGAAGGAGGGAACTCTGACACACCAAGCAGCACCCATGCACCCGAGTCAAGGTCATGGACAGCAGGTAGTGCAAACAGACAAGGACAGGAGTGACTTCCTCCAGGTGACCTTCTTAGAGTCAATGATTTATGGAGGGAGATAGAATGGAGGCTGCTAGTGGCCTGGGAGAAGAACAGGGAGTTCTCTCTAATGGTGCATGGTTTCATTTGGGGGAGTTGAAAAGAGTTTTCAAGGTAGACACTGGTGAGGATTGTACCGATATGTGAATATACTTAAGGCCACTGTGTCACTGTTCCCTTAAAGATGTTTAATACAGTGCAAAAAATTAAAGGAACTTGCCCAACATCCTAGAGTTACTGAATTACATAATGATTTCTAAACAGGTTTTAAGCTTAGTCCGTCTTTAACACTGAGAAGTTGGAGTAAGGAAGAATGGGTTAGGGTTTCCTCCAGCCTTGGGAAGCCAGTGAGAGCCATGGCCAGGCTTTTCATTTGGTCACCAGGCACACAGATCGTGCTTCAGTGATTCGGGGGTGTGCAGAGCACAGAGGTTGGCAGGTGAAGACATATTTGACAAAGAAGTATGTCCACGGGATGGAGCAATCCAAGGCAGGATGCTCTCTAGTCACAACTAGCATCTGGACTTAGGGTGGATCTTGGCACTCCCTAAGAACTGCACACCTTCTGCCATGTGAGTATGATGAAGCAGGCAGCATCCCTGAGGACAGACTAGTAGCCATATCTGTACAGTTCTTGGCTTCTTCATCCAGTTCTAGCAGGAGAAGATCAAAGACAAAAATTGATTTAAAGATTTTGATTCTATGGGGAATGAGGAAGAAATTAATGTTTCTGCACACTTTTGTAATAAAGAACCAGATTTTTCCTTACCCAGTAGATAGTGCATCTTTAAATCAATACAAAGCACTGTTGAAGGATTAATGAGTGCATTGAGCAATAGATCTCCACACTAACAAACTCAAACAAGACTGATTACCTTAAGTTTAAAACTGTGGAAGTGACTAAGGTACTACCAACTTCACATGAAGTTATGCTTCTGTCTGCAGACGGTGTCTTCCTGACTTCTGGATCTGAGAAGGTAAGCCCTTAAGTTTTAGAAAGGGCTTTCCAGATTCTGTCAGAATCAGGTAAAACATCATGATTTCGGTACTTTAACCAAGTTTCATGTGTTTTAGATTTGGAATCTTCATTAGTAACTACATCATTTTTTGAAAGTAAGATATTGACAATTCATCTCTAAGAATATTGATCATGCAGTACACCACTAAATCATCAATATGAATGACACACGTACACCATTTCCTGCTCACCTATTTATTTGGGCACCAATTAACTAAAAAGCCTCTCTTGCGTGTCAGTTCCAACTTCTCAAGAATTAGGATTTGGTTTGCCAATTAATCAACACTCAACCTATGAGGCACTTATCATGTGAAACTTCAAAATGACAAAACAAATACCCTTTTAGTTAATTTTATCTTGATTTAAACATGTTTAAAAAGTAGAAGAAGCCAGGCATAGTGGCACATGCCTGTAATCCCAGCAGCTCAGGAGACTGAGACAGAAGAATTGCAGGTTAGAAGCCAGCCTTAGAAATGGTGAGGCACTAGTGAACTCAGTGAGACCCTGTTTCAAAATAAAATACAAAACAGGGCTGGGGATGTGGCTCAGTGGCCGAGCACCCCTGAGTTCAATCCCCAGCACCAAAAATAAAAACAAGAAAAATGAGAGATGAAAGATTTGAAATAGGTTTCATTATTACACATGTGATTATTTAGAAGGATATAAATAACAAGGGGCATTTAAAAAATTAATCTCTCTCCTATGTTTCCAGTGACAGTGTCTCTTCTGTTGTTTGAAATCATGGAAAGTGGGAACACCAGTTCCGATTTCATTCTCCTAGGTCTCTTGGGCCACTCCAGAGCCCAACAGTTTCTCTTTGGGATGGTTCTGACAATAGCTTTCACGGCTCTAGGTGGCAATGCCCTCATGATTCTCCTGATTCATTTGGACCTCCGGCTCCATACGCCCATGTACTTCCTCCTGAGCCAACTGTCCCTCATGGATGCCATGCTGGTTTCCACCACTGTGCCCAAAATGGCTGCTGACTACTTGACTGGAAACAAGTCCATCTCCCCTGCTGGCTGTGGCTTCCAGATCTTCTTCCTTCTCACTCTGGGTGGTGGGGAGTGCTTCCTCTTAGCAGCCATGTCCTATGACCGCTATGTGGCCATATGCCACCCTCTGCGCTATCCCATGCTCATGAGCTGGCCACTGTGTCTGAGGATGACCATGGGGTCCTGGTTCCTGGGAGCAGCTGACGGGCTGATGCAGGCAGTTGTTG